GTTCAATTTGATTCAACTTAAGTAAGGTTTTGAGTTCAAATTTTTGTGAATGTAAAAAATCTCTTTTGGTAGAGCTAACTCCACAATTATATTGATGTTTCTAACTCAAACCGAAGTGCCACATGTGAAGGATACCTATGAGTTTTCAAAAAATTAAAGTAAAAGTCTAACACTAGCTCAAATGTCCTTTTGATAATTTGTGGCATTAAAACTAATTAGATTGCTTGTAAAACTTGAGAGCAGAGATATCACATTTCAACTAAAAATTGTAATATAATTTATAAAGGGGAAGATTATAATTACAACTTTTTTGTTTACAAACTGCATTATGTACTTCTGGGAGAACACTAGTTTACACTATGTTCTCCCGGCAGTGGCGGACCTAGAAAATTATATGACGGAGGACGAAAATTTATACTACTATTATGAAAATGCAATGCCAGTTTTGGTTGGAAGATGACGCTAAGAATACAAAAATACCTATTAAGAAGAACCTCATAAAATTACAAAAAAATTTGCCAATTTTTTGGTTGGAATGTCAATTTTTTATTTCCGGTGACAGTAGTTCAATGCACTCTCTATTTCAATGAGGAACTAGCCTTAAGACCTTATATTTCGTTTGTAAGATCAATTTTTTATTGTTTACCTTCATGCCTTCTAGTGTTATAATTGTATTTTCTTTGATTTCTTTAGAGTCTTATTTTCTCCCTTAGTTGTTATTTAGCAGAAGACACAATAAATTAATTAATGTGTTATTTATCTTTAGCATTTGGTCCCAACTAATAAGTGATAACGATTGCTGACCTTTTTTCTTTGCCAACAAAGTCAAAACTTGACAGGTAGAGTTCTGACATGACAATCTGTACAAATTTTTAATGATTATAAAAAGAAAATTAGATAATCAATCAATATAAAATCAAATTCTAGACAAATTTGATAGGTAGAGTGAATATACATTACTAACTAAACTCTTCTTTGTATACAACGAAAAAGCCAACTTTCCACATTGATTGGGGAGGGTAGCAGAATGTAACATCCCGAGCGCTGACGAGGGCGGGGAGTGATCACCGGTGCAAAGAGGCACGGACAACAAGCGGCTCCTGACATGCTTCCAGCGGGGGGTTACATGCATAAATGAATCGAATCGACACCCGAAAGAGAGGGATTCCAAAAGATGTGCAGGTATAAGACTGCATAGTTTGGGATAGCTTATAAGAATTAATTGGTACTACCTATGCTAACAAGATGCATCTGTTTTTCGATAGCCCGGATCGAAAGAACTCCACAGTTAAGCGTGTTTGACTTGGAGCAATTATGGGATGGGTAATCTCCTAGGAAGTTTTCTCGGAAAGTGTGCGAGTGAGAAAAAAGCACACTGAAAAGTCTCGTGTTAGTATGTGGGGATAGTCATTGATTCTTGAAGCGGTCGGGCGTTACAAGTGGTATCAGAGCAGGGTCTCTCATCCAGTACGGTGTGGTTCGAGGACGAACCAGGCGGAAGCTGGTGGGCATGTAACATCTCGAGCGCTGACGAGGGCGGGGAGTGATCGCCGGTGCAAAGAGGCACGGACAAAGAACGGCTCCTGACAGGCTTCCAGCGGGGGGTTACATGCATGAATGAATCGAATCGGCACCCGAAAAAGAGGGATTCCAAAGGCTGTGCAGGTATAAGACTGCACAGTTTGGGATAGCTTATAAGAATTAATTGGTACTACCTATTTAACAAGATGCATCTGCTTTTCGGTAGCCCGGTTCGGAAGAACTCCACAGTTAAGCGTGCTTGACTTGGAGCAATTCTGGGATGGGTGACCTCCTGGGAAGTTTTCCCTGGAAGTGTGCGAGTGAGGAAAAAGCACACTGAAAAGTCTCGTGTTAGTATGTAGGAATAGTCATTAATTCTTGAAGCGGTCGAGCGTTACACAGAACAAGAACAATACCTGCCATATATGCTGGCAAGTTGAATATGGTAAATAATAGTTTTCTCTAATTGGGTGCAATGAACGGGTGGAACATTTTTCTTATGAATAGCATCGCTTGTCTTTTCACCTTTTAAAAGACTTTCAAAATTTCGCTTTTTTAGACCATGTTACATATCATAATATAATAGAACATATTTTAATATTTTAGAGGGGGCAAGGTAGGTCTGCCCCTGTCTCCCGGGAGTACATAGTATAATTTGCAAAAATTTATAAAAAAAAATTGTAAACGGATCATTTTCCATTTATAAATCCTTCCACGTATTCTTTTTTCTTATGCAAATTGTTTTTACTCTCGTATAGTGAAACTCACATATACAGTCTATATAGTTATATAATATTTTTGCTGCATTCTGATCGGTGTATATTGAAATAAAAAGTCATCTGAATTATTTTCTAATGAAAAGTATATTTAAATATATTTATGTAATGAAAATATATTTAAATTAATTTTTAAAATGTAAAATATATTTGAGTTATCTTAAAAAAATCTTATTTTTTATTGAATATATTGCAAAGAGTTCACCTCCTTTTATTTACATGCATTTGTTTAATTTGAAACTTTATTTGTTATAATATTATTTATCAACATTACCCATGTTAATAGAATAATATTTTTATTTTGAATTCATAAAAATATTTAGAATATTAAATTCCTATACATGAAAATTACTAATATTGATATTTAGACAAGTATATCGCAATACGATTAATTAGTTGAAGTATTAAACTGCGAAACAATTGCTTCACCAATTATTAACCATTGACCAATCAGATTTTGAGAATTTTATTCTTATAGCTTTTTGTTTCTTTATCCAAGACATTCGTAATAATTAAGCTGATCGACTGTATCTACCCAAAATAACATTCTGGACCACCCACACAAGAAGCTAATGGTCGTTAGAATTCTACATGTGCTCAAAAATCAAATGTGGCTGCTGTATTCTAAAACATTTTTTTGTAAATGTAAAGATTCAAAACAACTTAATAGCTAGTAGATGCTGGATAATAACTTAAACAATATCATTAACGCACGATTCACATATGAACAAATAAAATAAGGGAAAAATGTCTATACTTTTAAATTACACAACTTACATTCTTTCACTCTCACAAAGAGGTGGGACCCACAACTTTATTTTTTTTTGTCAACTCTCTCTCCTCCTTTATCTATCTCTTTTTCTCTCTTAAAATGACACAATTTTACATCTTTTAAAATTATACACATTTTTCCCATAAAATAAAATTCTACGTGTTGATTTAATAAACTTTAGGAGAAATACTCACAAGTACAAGTCTGAGTTAGTAATCCAACTAAATTACAAAAAAGCCACGGTTCACAATAGGAATGGATCATTTCATATAACACGAGATCATGCAAGATTATTTTAATTGTCAAGAGATAAAATAACAGCGACGATTTATTCATAGATGACTGAGTGTGACAATTATATATCTCACAATATAATTAAAAATGATTGCTCTCAATGAACATGCTTAGTCTCTTAACAGAACAGTGTTTTGTCAACAGGTGATAATAAAAATGAGTTCATTATTTTTCCTTTATATGTGATTTTAAAATGACATCAAAGAAAAAAATTATCACAATAAAGATTAATATAATTCCAAAATAAATCAAATTACATAAATATTTTCCCTCTATTTAAAAACAATATCATTTTGGGCTATAAAAGATAAATTATGTTACATTTATGTGGTTCTCTATAAAATAAGGATTTTAATTTTCTCATGTTGCATAAAAATTGTTTTTTCATGTTATGCCTCATACTTATAAAATTAGAGTAAAGCTCCTTTAAGGTCCTTAACAAAAAATACGATTATCATTTTCGTCTCTTATAAAAAAACCTCATATTAGTCTTTTTTCAAGGACTAAATTGAGTTTTTATTGAATTTCTGAGAGATCATATTTTTAAAAAACTGAAATTGTAGAGGGACTAAAAATTGACTTTTTTTTTCTAGAAAGAACAAAAAATGAGAACCATATTTTTTTTGTTAGGAACTCAAAAGAAACTTTACTCTTAAAAAACAAATTGCACATAGATCAAAAGATTACACTATAAAAAAACACTTCTCTTACGATAAAAGAAGTGTTCTTCCCTAAAATAAAAGAAGGTGATTGGAAAAACAAACAAATAATGAAATTGCAGAATGAAAAGTCAAAATTTCAAAAGTATAGAACAGATGTCAAGTGGAAAGAGACACCGTGCCTTCCATCCTTTACTAATTTTCAAACATTTCAAGCATGGACTTTGACTTACTACTTTTCCAACCTCAGTTCACCATCTTTGGCTGCTTCCTTCTCTACTTTTCTTTCCTCTTTACACTTTTTATCATTTCCATTCTTATAAACATCCCTCCTTCTACTTCTCTCTTTCACTCTCTCTCTCTCCATATGTTCATCTATATGTTCAGTGCTTGTAACTACTTTTCAAGCTCTATATAACTTGACAGGAACAAGACAATTTTCTCTTCTCTCTCAATTCCCTTATGCAGGTGGGGTTTTTTTTTTCTTTTTTCTTTTTATTTTCCTTTTTTTTTTTTTGGTACCACTTATTTTGGTTTCACACTTCATTATCATGTATGTCTCACCTAGTACTTTTCTTCACAATGGAATCACCCACTTCAGTACTTTTCAAAACCCTTTCTCCCTTTGATCTCTTCTTTACATTTTCATCAAACAGATATATATATATATATATATCTTGAAATTTTCAACAGCTAATTATTTATTACCTATTAAGGATTATTGTCTCCCTAGCCAGCACCTTAATTCTTCCATCATAGCTGTATCTGGCTTTATATTTTTTCTTTGCCTTTTTTGTCTCACCCACATACCAACACATATGTAACAAACACTATATGGCATTTTATAGCAATAAATTCACATGGCATATACAGAAAGGGCAATTCAAAAGAGTATCATTACAGACACAAAGCATAAACACTTTCTGATCTCATCATAATGCAAAAGCAAAAGCAATAGCATCAAGTTCAATGCACCCTATGGAAGGTGTCTTCTCTCTCCCTGTGGCAGCCAGAACTGATTTTCTCCACTCTCTAGTGCAGTCTTTTGGCTGCGAGTACATTTGTCTATGGGCATATGATTCCAATTCACCAAAGTATATTTATGCATATACCTACATATCATTCCATAGTATTTGTAAATGTAATAACATACACTTCTAAGGCTTGTAGTTGATTGTGCTCACAACTTGGTCTGGTTTTGTTTTTTTGGCATATAGTCGTTTGTCCTTCTTGGATGGTTTCTATAATGTAAGAGACAACCAAGCAAGCTCTTCTTGGGGGACTTTAGCACAAAGTCTTTTTAACCAATACCGGAGTTTAACATTTGATGTCAATGATGAGTAAGGCTAGCTACCTCACATATTCCATAATTTTAATGTAAATTGGCATGCTTCTTTTTGCATTTGACTCTTATAGTTAATTCTTCTTCTTCTTCTTTTTATAATTAAATATCACTTTTTTGTTTTATTCAGCCGTGTTCCTGGACTAGCTTTTAGGACTCAGCTTCCTTACCTAGAGCTCCAACAATTAGAACTTCTCAGATTGGCATCAACAGAAATACAAACACAATTCTTTCAGGTAATTAAAATTCTAATCAAAGAGAATTTAACTGCTCCAAAGTAGTCTTACATTTATGTTGCTAAGGTAACTTGTTTTTTTCTGTTTTTACAGGAAGCAAGGATCAAGGTTTGTTTGTTTATATTTGTTTTCTGAGCTTTATGATGAACCAGAAAACTTAGTAAGTCATTGCTTGCACCTTATTCTTCTCAGACTGCTATATTCATGGGGTGCAACAGAGGGGAAATTGAGCTTGGTTTCTCAAATATGTCACAAGTAAGATATTCAATTACATTAACCAAAAGATGAATCAATTATTAACTGTAGAAGTTTGATTTTCCAACAATTTTTTTTTTTTTTTTTTCTGTGCAGGCTGACATTCAAACAACACTAAGGAGTTTGTTTCCTGAAGATTTTTCTAGACAGTCCCAACAAATTGATCAGAATCCACCTTCATCATCTTCATCATCTTTGAGATCAATATCTACAGGTAGCCCTGAATACTCATCTCTGATATTCAGTATTCCAGGAACTTCCCAATCCCATTTTCCTGAGACCATTGGAGGAGTGCTTCCAATGCCACATGTGTCAAACACAGCAACTAGCCCTCACCAACAAGCAATCCAAGCAATGTCTCAAGTCACTCCAAGTCAGTTCCCCACACCAGAAACTGAACATGATGCAATAATGAGAGCAATCCTCTATGTTTTATCTTCACCTTCTCATCAGCAACAAAACCAGCAAAACTTGCCTTATACTTCTGTGGTGCATCCAGAAGCTAGTGCTTTCCAAAGGTATAGACCAGATATAGGTCCTAATATTGGGTCCAATTTCCGAAGACAAAGCCTTATGAAGAGATCGTTTGCATTCTTTAGAAGCTTGAATTTCATGAGAATGAGAGAAAGCATTCAAGCAACACGTCCCACTAGTACTCAGATGCATCATATGATATCAGAGAGAAGAAGACGTGAGAAACTAAATGAGAATTTTCAGGGACTTAGAGCATTACTTCCTCCTGGAACTAAGGTACAAAACTAGTCAAATATTCTTTTATATAATATAAGCAATGCATTATGCATATACTGAGTATATAAATCTGATAAGGTAAAACAATTCTTATATGCAATCTTGCCTTATATATTTACATAGAGTTCCTCAATTCAAATTCGTGATCTTTCGGTCACAAAAAATAGCTTTATCACTACTCGAGACTTGTTTTTTGTATATAGTGAATATATGTATAGCTTTTTTTTGTGTTATTCTAAATTAATGGCTGAATATTGTTCATGGTTTGTTAGAAAGACAAAGCGTCGATACTGACAACAGCAAAGGAGACATTGAGCTCTTTGATAGCTGAAATTGACAAGCTAAGAAGAAAAAATCAGGAGTTGACGCCACTTTTGAGAACTAAAGAATCTACAACTGAAGAAACCAAAGCTAGCTTCTCATCAAATGAAAGATTAAATGTACAAGTTTCACATGTACCAGAATCAAGCTCATCACAAGAGAGAATGGTGGACTTGCATGTGTCTGTGAGAGGACAAATTTCTCAAGTTGATATATTGATCCGATTATTGGAATTCTTAAAACAAGATCAACACTTGAATTTGGTTTCCATGGGCGAAAATACTCATATTGCTGAAGGGAATTCCCTTCATCAACTAACCTTCAGACTAAGGATTATTCAGGTATGTACATATCTCTACGAACAATTCATGAAAATAGTACGTACTAGCTTGTTAGGAATATTCATTTGAATAATAAAATAATATCATTTTAATTATTTTTCTATTCATGATAAGCATATAATTATAATATCCAATAGATTTGAATAGGCAAGTAGATTAATAGATTTGGTCAATCTCAAAATATTAAATTAGGTCTGGCCTAATTAGACCAAAAATTTACACCCTTAATTATAAATACCATTTGTTATAAATAATTGCCTTTGGAGCAGAACGCTGTGTGCATTATTGTAACTTTGTTCTTATAAATGTTCAAGATAAATACATAGACATTCAAAATAGGATGCTGCACAGAATTAAAACATAGTAGGAAATTTGTTATTAATTACAATGAGTGACTACTATAGATGGTTTAGGTTACCCGCATCAAGGAACTTGATTGTATGATCAGTGACGGGTGCAGGTTTTGGTTGAGGGGGAAGAATGAATAAAATACTATGAAGTGTTTTTTTAGTATTTAATAAATAAATTTTAAACATGTCCACGTTCACGAAATATTTCATTTACTATTAGCTTCATTAAGGAATATGATGACGTTATAAATCAATCTCGCATATATAAGGTCAGGACATAAATATTCAAAAAGAAAATTTTATTGACCTAACTATTTGCACGTGATATTATTAAAGAAAATGTTATATTTACAAACTTTTTATTTACAAACTCTTACAATCTACACTATATCTGACTGGTAATACACTCTTAAATGAAGTCTGACCAGTCAGACATAGTATAATTTATAAATTTGTAAAAAAAAAAAAATATGTTGATATGACCCTTGTCTATTATCAAACTTCTCAAATCATGTGGGTGGTGCATAATAAGTCTAGCTCCGCACTATGGCAGTAGAATTCATGCACAAATCAGACAATTAGATTTGGACAAAAGTAGCGGCTACTTTTTTGTAGGATCCTAGAACTTTCCTTTTTTTTTTTTTACTTTTTTTTCGGTAACTGAAGGGTATCCCTATCCCTTTGGGGGCGAGACTAATCCCAAATCCAGCACCGTAGGACTCTTGCGGGAGCAGCTCTACCCAATTTTTTTTTTCATACCCAGAGCTCGAACTCGAGACCACTGGTTAAGAAAACACAGCTTTCGGACCAACTGTGCCAAAGGGTTTGGGTAGAACTTTCCTTTATAAGTATGATTATGAAAATTAATTATTTACAATAATACAATATTATATAGTCAAGAGGAAGGATCTTAGCAAGTGCAGTTGTGACTTGTGATTGGGAAGGTGGTTTGGTGGCTTAGATTTGTCATCTTACGCGGATGGTACAAACTACTCATTCAATTAAAAAAGTAGATTCTATTTTGGCAGCCATCAAACATGAATCAGAACAAATATGTTGATATAAGATATGTAGACTTGTGGCGGTGGCTGTTCAGTGCATATATTATTAGACAAATGACTAAATAATGTCACATTTTAGTATGTGTTCCAATTCCGTTTAATTTGGTTATTTATTTCAAATAGTCTACTATCAATAATGTTATTATATTATTATATTATATGGAAAAATTATTTATCGTTTTAAATGATATAAGTTTATATCATTTCATCCCTTATTACTATGTATTCCACGAAGTACATAGTTATAATATGAAAGTTATTTTTTTTTCCTCTATATATTAACTATGTATTCCCGGAATATATAGTAATAAAGAGTGAAAAAATATAAACTTATATCATTTAAAACAATAGTAACTAAACTCATATTATATTGCATGTGTGGCTAGCAACTCTTCTTTTGTTTTTATCAATCAACGTCGCATTTTTTAAATTACCAAAAAAAAAAGGTCACCCTCAAAGGCTATACCATATTCAAAAGAAAAAAAGAAAAGAAACTTTTCGTGAAGAATAATAAGGTCTCTATGTTTATGCAGGGAAGTGAATGGGACGAGTCTGGCTTCCAGGAAGCAGTGAGAAGAGTGGTTGCTGACTTGATACAGTACCAAGTGGACCAATAGTTTTGACCCACATCAGCACTCATCTTTGATTTATTCTGCGGCGGTAGCCCATCGTTGATGTTATGTTTAAGCCAATCAAATCGTCTCAACTTGCCATCAGTTTTTTATGTTACGTTCGTTTCATAATTAATTGGTTTTCTTAAGTTTTCAGTCTATATATTTTTAATCTGTGTTCGTTTCAGTTCTTACTTCTAAATTTTATTTATTTATCTCTCTTGGGATTCTAATTAAATTCAATGGTATCTTCATGGTGATTGTTATAATCCAAGTTATTTTGTTAAATAGTGACATGTCAAACGATTATTGGTATGATTAATTTTAGCAAATTCAAACTTGACATGTCACCATTTATCAAAAGTAAATTAAATCAATCTAAGATCATCATAAACATATATAACATTTTATATTAATAGAAAGTTAAATAATTAAAATGAATAAGTCAAAAATGGAAATCAAAACGAATCACGGAATATAAATGTAAGGACAAAATACTTAATTAAACTTAATTGATTTCAATGAAACTATAATTTATTAACACTGGTCGATTCAATTGGTGTGGACCAACATGTAGCTATCAATATGTTCTGGATAAGACATTTTTAGTTTATATCCAGAACTCTGCATCATTGATTTCTTATCATTTGGATTTGTTGGGCTCATGCTCATGAAATGCAACTATTAATCAATCATCCTTTTTGTATATAAGTGTGCCGACTGCATGAGGGAGGGGTTTTACTTCAAGCAAGGCTAAAGCTTATTCTAGCTTTTTTGCATTAATGAAATTTTTTGTGTCGCCTATTTTGACTGCAATTTTACACAGAGGATCAACCCTTCGCAAATAAAAAGACTAATTGATACATTCCATTTCAAAAGATGGTCCAAATTATAAGTCACTATTTGATAAACCACACGTGGTTTTTCTAATTATTCTACCTTATATATTTGAATTCCTTTGTTAGTCAAAGAATTTTCTTTGTGGAAAACCGTTGGGAGCTTTTCAGACGGCGGTTTTGACTGTCCATGCCAGGCCCACTGGTTCAAAGCATTCAATGAAATTTTAAAGACTATTTAAAATTTTGGGTTTCTTTGTTTTCTTCAATAAGATACATACACTGTACTATACCTATAAATTAGTGAAACAAGTCAAGCTGTTGATTCTGTGTGTAGCCTAGCTATTGAATTACAAAATCATTACCACAGGCATTTTTTGGTGACCATTTCCAACACGTTTAATAAATTAAGCTTCAGTTTCAACTACTACTTCATTTTTCACCCGTAACAATGAGCCCTGTATGTCCTTCTTAATACATTTCTAAAGACTGGTCATTAAGCTTATAATTAATTGAGGACATCGAATCAAATAGGTAAATCAGGAAACAACGACCAAGTTAACTCAGTCACCTTGTTTTTATTCGTTCTATGCTCGTTCAAAATATTCTTATATATATGGTGCGGTTATTTTTACACCAATGCAATAATAACAAATCTTATATTACATCTTAATCATTAATTTTCGTGTACCCAACGGTAAAGATTTATTGGGTCATATTAATTAATTAATTATTGTGACCCAATAATCTTAATCGTTGGATGAACGAAAATCAACGGTTAAGATGTGATGTAAGACTTGTTATCTTACACTGGTATGGGGCAAGATCTTCTTACATCAGTATAAGAATAATAAATCTTACACTCAATCTTAATCGTTGATTTTTGTGCATTCAATGGTATAAGACTTATTATCCTTACACAGTTATAAGTTGATCCCCTCTCTCTCTCTCTCTCTCTCTCTCTCTCTATATATATATATATATATATATATATATATATATATATATATTGCACCAAACAATCACACACAAAATCGCAAAAATGGGGTAGCAAAGAAAGAATAGAGACACAAAATTTACCTTGGTTCATCCAATGTGGGCTATGTTCAGCAATATTCACTATATTCTCCTCACTGCACTCATTACAAAGCACTTTGTTTACAAAGGGGAATATAAATAGGCTTAAAAACCCTAAAAAGAGTAGTTGTTCATGAACCCAAGTCCAAACTACTAAAAGAGAAATAAAATACAATAACACAAGATCCACAAGAGTATCAGGCTCACTGTAAGAACCCACACCGCTAAATAATTAATTAAATAAGATTATCGATGCTGGAGCATGGATTTGATAAAGAGTTTGCATAATTATGGTAAGATAAATATTTAGAAAGTCGAATAAAGCTTTAAGTCTCTTTTCAGACGAAAAGTGCAAATACCGGTTCTGTTTCATGGTATAAATGCATAAGGTGAAGTATCCCGAAAAATTATAATAAGTACATGAATATTCCTAGAAAAATACCTAGGTCAAATATATCAAGTTTGGAGTCATAATAATGAGTGCTGATGTCAAAACTAATACAGGCTACGTATAAAGCACATACCGGCAAAGTGCTGCGAAAATTATAATAAAAATATGATAATTTTCTAAAAAATGGCTACGATCAGAATATGAAATTTGAGGTTAAAATGATTAGCGGAGCTATTAGCGCTAATACTGACGGATTAAGTTAAGTGCATCTATATAAATGATGGCACATTAACCTAGGTCAGATTACCATATTTCGTACGTGCCTCTTTGCTGTTGCCTTTGTTCTTCATGCTTGTCACCTTCCTCTCTTCCTCTTGTGAGCCCAAGAGATCATCTTTTTCCAATTTTTCTTCACCAAACCACCATAGTTGTGTGTGAGCAAGCTTAAGGAGGGGAAAGTCACTCTATTTCTGAGTTGGTGAGGGTGGTGGGTGTAACACCCGTGTGCACCCGGCGTATTAAACATACATATGGCAGTAGCGTAGCTGTTTAAATGCAGAAGCTAAATTTTTTTTTAATTATGAAGTCATTATTCTTAACCAAGTTGATTACTTAATCTTTTTTCAAAACATTGCATGTATATAAATTTCAATAAATAACTACACTGACTAACCTCATATATAAGTGTGTATCTAGTCACGGAACTACAACACATAGACCGGACAAAATCCTCGTTCATTATACAACAGAAGTCTAAATAAACATAGCATATTCAATGTGGCATAGACAACCTCAATGCTCACCAAATAAGGCAACAAAGCCCAACAAAGTCTCAGCTCAATAATCAACATAATGAAATTAAATATGGTTAACACCCAAGCATATCAGCATACCAACATACATCTCAACTCAGCTCTTGCCTCCTTCCGCCCCAGGTATCAACCCCCGAGTTACCTGAACCTGAAAATGTGCCCCAACAAGGGGTGATGTAAGGACTCACACCGTTAATTAAGAAAATTAATTAAATAAATATGAGAATTAGAAAATAATTCCATAATTGACCCTAATAATTATGGTAAGGCTTAAATAATATTGGTAAGTGATTAATAATGCTGAAAGTCACTTTTCTGACGAAAAGTGCAGATACCGGTTCTGCTACTCGGTATAAATGCGTACTGATGAAGTATCCCAGAAAATTATAATAAGTGCATGAATATTCCTAGAATATTATATTGGACTTGTAAAACAAGTTTCAAGTTAAAATAACGAGAACTGGTGCCAGAACTGATACTGGCTATGGAAAAGCGCGTACCGGAAAGGTGCTGCGATAAATAAAAGAAAAATATCACAAATCTTAGAAAAATGAGTAGATTCAAAATCCTAAGTTTGGGATTAAAATGCTAAGCGTAGCTATTAGTGCTAATACTGTGTGTTTTAACTTAAACCGTCTATATATACTCATTTTTGCACAAAACCCTAGGTTTATTTCAGTTGTTGTGTGAACCTTGGAGGCTGACCAACTCCTCTTACTGTTCTGTTGCCTTCCCTTCTCCATTTCTTGATCCAAGGAGCCATTTCCTTCATGAAATCTTCTCCTAAACACTTAGTGTGAGTGAGAGTTAGCATTGAGAGTGTGTTGCTGACCTTGTTGCTGAGTTTGGGTGTCTGTTTTAAGGGGTTTAGAGGGCTGTGTTCTTGAGCTTTGTTGAGGGAGCTCTTATTCTAGTATTGTGAGCTCCAAGGAGTGATCTTTGATGTGAAAAAACCTCTCTTGATCATCATTTTCGTGGGTTCTTTCTAGCTTGACGTTGGGAGCTGCAAGTGAGCTCCAATAGCACTTGTGGTTCTGTTTTGAAGCCTTTGGGTAAGCACTATCACTTTGAACATGAGTTTTAATGAATAAAAGAGATGTCTTAGCATGTAAAATGGTAGGGTTAATTAGTTAACATGATCACTGAACCTTAAAGCCTATAAAAATGCATACTTGGACGTATTAATGAAGTGATATCTTCGCGAAAATGCAGAACTGCCTTCTGTCGCGAAATATCCGGATATGGATATCCGGATATGGCCTCGCCAAATATCCGGATATTCTGGATTTTCGAGAACTATAATTGTACTGTTCATACAGAACTGAGTTATGGGTTTGTGGACCCTAGATTGATGAAGTGGGACGTCTGTTATAATTAAACTAAGTCAGAATCAAGTGATTAAGGGCTTGTGGCTTTGCGAGAAGCCTTAAGACATGAAATGTAAAAAAGAAGCGTTGTCTTTAAGTATATGTTTAAGAGCTATGGTTGTTGATATGATTGCTGGTCCAAAACAGATTGTGATTCTGCTGTGTTTGGGCTTTGAGCTTGGTTGGACTCTTGGCTTGGATAGCTAGCTTGCAAGGTAAGCTTTCGTATCCTCGGTTTAGCCATTGTTTGTTCCACCATATCCCATTGGGGGATGGATTATATGCATGATGTGTTTTCATGTACTGTTTTATTGAAATGTTATTGAGCTGTTAAGTGCAAAATGCTTATGATATGTATGTGGTGTTTCTCCTAGACAGGAAGCCATGGGGTGGTCCTGTAGGCGGGTACAGCATGAGCGTGTACTGTGTGGGTAATAGACGTATTCCTGCACTTATCTGATCAGTAGAATATTTATAACACACATGACATGATTATCTGCTACATTGCACTGATTTTGGAACTGATGTTAAATTACTGTTTTTAGAACTTATATTGCACATGTAAGTGAGCTT